TTATTAATTTTATGATCACTTAACTCGTTTTATCAATAAAAAAACATTAATAGTTAAGAGTGATTTATTTTACGCGCACTTTTATTTTGCTCGCGAACTATTGACTTAGCTTTGAAAGCGTAAAATCTTTAATCGTGTCTTCTAATTAAACCTATTAACATATTAACTTCCCCACCCCTTCTTAGGAAATCCTCCTGGATTTGAATATAAAAAAAAAATTCATTAGTACAATTAATATGATATACAGTCAAACCTTTCTATAGCGAACCTCCCTATAACGAATTCCTCTCTATAACGAAATTTTGTTGAAGACACAGCGATTTTCATATATTTGAACCTCTCTACAGCGAATTCCTCTCTATAACGAAGTTTTTTTCAGGTTCGCAAACAAATTTTTGCATACGTAAAAACCTCTCTATAACGAATTTTTTTAAATACAAGTTAAACACTTAACTAATACGTTCTAACTTATGAGAAACTTCTTTGTATGCAAGCTATTAACTTGTTAGAAAATTTGGAAAAGTTCCTTAATAAGGAAAAAGAAAAAATGTCTAAACAAACTAAAATTATAGGCTTAGCCATATGCAATTAATATTTTTATTGTTATGTATATATATATGAATAAACATAAAATTAAAACGTAAATATTTCTCAATCAAATGCAAAAAAAAATTAAAAAAAAAAAATTTGTTCAACCTCTCTATAACCTCTCAATGTCCAATCCAAGGAAGAAGTACTGAAGTCAAATGCGTATTATGCGAAGGAAACCATCCTGCAAATTATAAGGGTTGTTCGATTTATAAGCAGCTACAAACCGCGAAATTTCCAACTCTAAAACCTAAACCAACAACAAATACAAACAAAGAAACTGACGAAGAAAAAGACAAAGTTTCTATCCCAAGGGATCCCAAAAGAAGTTATGCCAGCGTGCTAGTGGAACAATCACCTAAATCTCTTACTATTCCTAAATCTCCAGATACCATGAGCGAAGTTCTAATAGTAGTTATGAATGTTCTTGTCACGCTGACGACTAAATTATGTCCGACAGTGAATTAAATATAGTACTCTGGAATGCGAATGGACTATCAAAACACTGTTTAGAGCTACAAGAATTTTTAAAAGATCAAAAAGTAGACATCATGTTAATATCTGAAACACGTTTTACTTCAAAACATTATTTTAAAGTACCAGGCTATGACTTTTACCACACTATGCATCCCGATGGCACAGCTCATGGGAGAAGTGGCATTTTAGTTAAAACAAATATATTACACTTTGAAATGCAACAATACCGCACTGAAGAGATTCAAGCAACCAGCATATCAACAAAAGATTGGTGTGGCTCAATCACAATAACATCAGTATACTGTCCACCAAAACACGCAACTAAGACGGCAACATATAAAAAATTCTTTAGAACCTTAGGTAACAGATTTATTGCGGGGGGAGATTTTAATGCTAAACACGTTGAATGGGGCTCTCGGCTTTCAACACCCAAAGGACGGCAGATGCTTGCGGCTATAAGAAGCGAAAACCTTTCAACTATCTCGTCTGGAGAACCAACTTATTGGCCCACGGATCCCAAAAAAATGCCAGACTTGTTAGACTTTTGTGTTACTAAAGGAGTGCGACAAAACGACACGTTCTGTAAATCTAGCTTTGATCTTTCATCAGATCACTCGCCAGTATTATTACGGATAAAATCGAATATACAACTTAAAGTTCAAAAATGTTATCTGCACAACAAATTAACCAACTGGGATGCCTTTAGGCATACACTTAAGGCATTACTTGATGAAAAAATGGCGCTTAAAACAGACGAAGACATTGCGCTTGCAACCGAACATCTTATAAGTAGTATTCAGCAATCAGCCTGGAGATCCACGCCTTCAAACATGCAACAATTCGCCACACCATTATGTAGTACGACTCAAGAACTTATAAGAGCCAAAAGAGCAGCGAGAAGGCGCTGGCAACAAACCAAATCTCCGAAAGATAAAAAACTTTTTAATATGCTGATCAAAAATCTAAAAGAACATCTGAAAACAACCAGAAATTTGGAAATACAAAGAATCTCCAAAGACTAGACGCAACTACTTCCACCAACTACTCTCTCTGGCGACCAATCAAGAAACAGACATCAACGCACAATGCACCAGTAAAAAACGAACTTGAGCAATGGGCCCGAACAGATACAGAAAAATGCAAAGTATTTACGGACCACCTGTCTTCAGTTTTTATTCCAAACATTAATGAAGCCCCAAATAGTATAACTGAAGAGATTAGAGAGGTATTACAGTAAACGCACCAACTGGACCTTCCAATACAAAAATTCTCCATTTTCGACATAAAATTCGAAATCAAAAAACTAAAAATAAATAAAGCACCCGGCTATGACCTAATTACTTCAAAAATATTAAAGGAGTTACCGGATGAAGCAATAGTACTGCTGCGAAACATTTTTAACTCTATTGTCACAAAAGGCTTTATCCCTCCCCAATTCAAGGTGACTCAAATTACCATGATACTCAAACCTGGGAAAACGGCAAAAGATGTTAAGTCATATAGACCAATTAGTCTTCTACCGGTTATGTCAAAGTTGTTGGAAAATTTATTTCTTACCAGATTAATGCCCATTGTCAATAGAAGGAGACTAATTTCGGAATATCAATTTGGTTTTAGAAAAAAGCACAGTACAATAGAGCAAGTACACAGAGTGGTTAATGTTACACATACAGCATTTGATAAAAGGAAGTACTGCACAGCAGCATTTCTGGACATATCCTAGGCATTTGATAAAGTTTGGCATAACGGCCTATTGTTTAAGCTTAAAAAGATGCTCCCAACTAATTACTATATTTTCTTAAAATCTTACATCGAATCACGATATTTCTTTGTAAAACATGGGGATGAAATATCAACTTTGCAGCCAATTCAGGCTGGAGTGCCACAAGGCGGTGTCTTGGGACCTGTGTTATACTTACTCTTCACTAACGACTTGCCTACCACCGTTGGTACTGAGATTGGAACTTTTGCCGATGATACTGTGGTAATTGTTACAGACGAAAATCACCAGTTAGCATCCAACAAACTCCAGCGAGCGCTAGATAACATTTCCCAGTGGCTTAAAACCTGGAGAATAAAAGCAAATGAGACTAAGTCTTCACAAATAACCTTTACAATGAGAAGGAAAAATTGCCCACCGGTACGCCTTAACGATATTTTAATCCCTCAATCTACCCAAGTGAAATATTTAGGAATACACTTTGACACAAAACTAACTTGGAAGCACCATATTTTTACCAAAAGAAAAGCACTTGGCATCAGACTGCGGGAGCTCTACTGGATACTGAACAAAAGTTCAAAGCTTTCCGTGGAAAATAAACTTCTTATCTACAAAGCGATACTCAAACCAATCTGGACATATGGCATTGAACTCTGGGGAACTGCTGCATCTTCAAATATTGAGATTATCCAACGTTTTCAATCAAAAACCCTTAGATTAATCTTAGATGCTCCTAGATATATAACAAATGAATGTATAAATCGCGATCTCAACGTTCCGGTAGTTAAGGATGTCATAAAAAGCCAAGCCAGTAAACACAAAAAACGTATATTACATCATCCCAACCACTTTATGAGCAGAATTATAGCAGAAGGAAGAACGTTCACACGCCTCCGCAAACAAACGCCATTGGAACTTTAATGTGTCCGACTTCAACAGACGGATGTGCTACTGAGCTCAGTCCATTCAAGTTCAAACTGGACTTTTAAGTATTTAGTCACTTAGTCACTTTTAAATATTGTTTATTGTCTACTCTGAATTGGCAGATCGCAATATAAGAAAATAAAATTAAACAAAAAAAAAAAAAACCTCTCTATAACGAAGACCTTTCTATAACGAAGTTTTTTGTAGGCACCAACGACTTCATTATAGAGAGGTTTGACTTTAATTAATTTTAAATAATATAATATAATACATTTTCAACATATATAATACAATTTCAATTAATATAAAATAATACAACTTCAATTAATGTAATATTATACAGTTTTAACTTATATTATATTGTATTATAATATACAATATTTTAATATTAATATAATATTGGTTAATTGTGTTATATTAATACAATTTCAACTAATAATATATAATAAAATTTCAATTTATATATTGCTGCGTACGTTTCAAAATTCGACGTAATGGTTCGCGATTGTTGATTATAATAACACTTTTGTTATGCCTAATACTAAATTACTATTATAAAAATTAATGGCTTCTATTTTCCAATATAAAATTTGTATATGTATGAATAAAAAAGTTATGTTTATTCATGTCGTATAAGTTCAAATTTTGTAATATAATTTACCCAATTTACAAATATGTTTACTTTAACAACCTATTTAACCCATGGAATACATTATCAACATGAAATTAAGCAGCATTTCAAAACATTTGTTTTCAATTTCAAGCTAAAATAAATCTTTATTGCATTTAACATATTATACGAAAACCTCCTAAACTATTTTCCGCACAAAAAAAAATTCAAACAGCTAAGAAATAAATAAGAAAATAAATAGCATAAATAATTGCGTAACACACACAATTATAAACAAAACAACATTTCCCATAATTATACGTTAATATTAATTAAACCCATTTAACTTAATAATAATTATATTATATGTAATGTATACTTAAATTTATTTATGAGTATTTATATATATTTGCCTTAATTAAAACTTGTACAATAAGTAGTTGAAAAAATGTTATACAATAGCCCTGAAAGAGCATAAAATAGAATAAAAGTAGCACAAGTGTGGTGTAATCACACTTATTTAATACGTGTGACAAAAATGTTATAAAAAATGAGTTTTCTTAAGCAATTTCTATTAGTTTTGATCGAGGTAGGCAGAGTTTCCATTCTTTAAAAGATATTCTCTGACTTCGAGTGACCATGGAAATAAAACATATTTAATATCATAGAAACATATTCATATATATTTTATTTAAAATTATTTATTTCATTAAAGAATTCACAACTGCATTTACATTAATAGCTTTAAGATCTGTATAAGTTTGTCCAGTTCCTACAAAAACGATAGGTTGGCCCGTAATATATGTCATAGATATAGCGGCGCCAACCTTATCATCAATTGTATCGAATTTTGTTAAGACTATACCATCAATAATATGTGGATTATCATTAGAAGAATAATCAGCGAGTGATTGATTGAATTTTACTAGTTGGTCTACAGCTTCATTTCCTACTAAAGCTTCACCAACAAACAAGACTAAATCAGGATCATTAACTGTGATAAGCTTTGAAAGAGAACGCATAAGCGGTTCATTGTCCTGCATACGTCCAGCAGTATCTACAAGGACTATATCCACATTAGTGTCAGAAGCATATTTAATTGCTTCCATTGCAATACCAGCTGCATCTTTTCCGTAACCTTTTTCGTAAAGCTGAACCATAGTACGATTGTTATGATTTTGAGGTGGATGTAATGCATTCAAATGACGTGTATGAGTCCTCAATTGTTCAACTGCTCCAGCACGAAATGTGTCGCAAGCAGCTATCAAAACACTAAAATCATTTTCGACAAGCCAAAAACATATTTTTGCTAAATTTGTAGATTTACCCACACCATTAACACCACAAAATATTATTGTGTACGGTTTATTATTTTTTTTAGCTTCTAAAGCATCGCGTATAACATCGATTCTACGCTTCGGTGATAAAATTCGTAGAAGAGATACGGTTAAAGCACTTTTTATCACTGTAGCAATTGAATCAAATGTACCTATGCTTTTTCCTTCTAAACTTTCTGCAACAGAATCGCATAACTTAAAAGCAATATCCGTAGCAACATTCTTCGCAATTAAATGGTCACGCATTTTATCTAAAATTTCTTGCAAATCAAGTTTGGTCAATGTTTTTGCACCAACAACTCCTTTAAAATAAGATAAAATTCCAGAGATTTTTCGATTTTCTTTGTTTATGTTATGATTATCTACTTCATTATCATTTTCCTTGTCATCAGCAACAACTTCAATATCAGGAATGCTGCCTTGCATTGTGCCAACAATCTAAAGGGAACAAATTTTTTATTCATTGTAATATATTAATATTGGAAATTTACGTACGTAAGATTCTATTTTTTGTAAATTCACATTTTCTTCTTGGTTTTTAGAACGATCCAAAGTAACAGCATCTTTTGTGCTGCCTTCTAATTCCCATATTCTTGGTTTTTTGCCCGCCTTATCAGAAATGACACTCCGTTTTTGCTCTGTTGTACACTTCTTTCCAAGTAATTTTTCCTTCATTTTTTTACGGTTTTCCATCATTATTTTTTCATTTGATAATTCTCCTGTTCGTTCAACATTATGTTCAAGTATACTTTGTATGTTAACTTGTTTTGGCTTACTACTCCTTTCGCTTTCCTCAAACATAGATGCAACAGTTTTCTTTGATTTTAATGATTCGTTAAAACTACGCATTTGTTTAGGTGCAGATTTAGATTTATTTTTTTCAGCGCTTAATAACATGGAAAGAAATTCTTTATCGAAGTCAAAATCCAGTCGAAAACGCAGCACAGGTGACAACAATTTCTCTTCAAATTTGCATTTAAACGCAGTTTGCATATCACATAATATTTTATCTGCATAAGGTAAATTTACAACTTTCTGATATATTATTAAAGATATTAATTCCAATTCATTGTCCAATTTATATTGTACAGCTAAATCGCTGCGTTCAAAATATTTAGAATCACTACTTCTTCCCTATAAATCATAAACGTTATTTTTATATGTATGTACTCATATTAAGTATATAATTCTTACTTCCAAAATAACGATACGTATTAAGTCGTTAACACATTCTGAATAATTTTGACCAGAAAAGTTTTTGCACCACAAAACAATTCCTCCCTTCGTAAATATGACAACAAAATCCAACATTTTAACCTTAGATTAAATTCTTGACAATGTACACGTAGCCAACAAATAAGTTATGAATATAGCAAAACGTCAATGCATACAGTAGAGCATTTACATCAAATATGTTTACAACCGCCTTATATTAAAAATGTTCCTAATATAATATAACTAAATATGGCATATAATTTAATTGTTGGAGCTTGTGGCATATCAGTTCTATTTTTTTAGTAAGTTTGTTATTAATTAGTTAATTTCATTATTTAATTTCTGTCTGAGGGGATATATAAATCATATAATTTGTCATTTTAGTCAATTTCATTATTCAGTTTTTGGCTGAGGGGATATACAAATCATAAAAACAATTTTAAGAGCATTTACGTGTAAAAATTAAAATTAATCTGAAGATGTATTCAATTAGTCAGCTGTTTAACAGTAAGCAAATATTTTAAATCTATACAATAAATAACAAAATATTACAAATGGGTTTGTTTACACAACAAAGTTATAGCACGTTGACACTCTCTCATTTAGGCGATTTGCTCATTGTAGCCATTAATGGGGATGATTTACCATACTAAAAGCTTTCATATAAATTACCTTATTATTAATAAATCAGCTTATTTAGGCCGTATGCGAATTCGAGTAAATTGATGGTAAATAGATCGGTATGGCAGCGAATGTTGGTATTTACCAGAATTTCGAGCAGAGTAAAGTATATAAAAATTATATAAATTAGGCGCTGCCATTGTGAAAATTTTATGAGATATTTAATAAATAAATAAATAAATTTGAAAGCTTTAGCCAAAAATAATAAATAAATGCAATAAATAAGTAAATAAATATTTACCTACGAAGTTTTAATTTATAACATTGACAGTTGTTGTCAATGCTGTATCATATGTTTTTTGATATTAAAAAAGCGAGCGAATTTTAAATTCAACATAGATAAGCAAGAAAAATTAAAGAAACTCACTTTAAATTGGTTAAAAAGACGCCATTTGTTCATTTTAAAACTAAAATTGTTATTATTGTGTGTGTAATAAAAAATCATGAAGCTATAAATATACGTCTTACTATGAAAACTAAATTCATAACTAAAAGAATATTGCATAAAGAGGTTTTCGAACAGAAGTGAAACAACAACAAAAATTTATTTTTTAAATTATTTTAATTAATGGAATTTTGGCTGACCATACAGCTGTTTCGAGTATTGCCAAATACCCTTCATCAGTGGTCTTGGAAATAATTCTTATATTTAATTATTCGCAAATAATTATTTTTGAGACTGCAAGTACCAGGAATCGAACTCGGGTCCTGCCAAATATGAAGCTCAGAATCAGCGCACCTTAACCAACTGATCCAAAGCCGTACTTGACTTTTTATGTTCGCATATTTTTGCTGGAGTTTTGTTACTTTTGCTATGAAAGTTTTATTAACAATTTTACTTGCTGTATTTATATATTAGAACGAAATCATAAACCAGCTGTAGAATAATTGAATTAATTAATTAATTATATTTTTTATTTTTAATTGTTAAATTTCAAAACTATTCTATTCGTAGAGGCATTATTTGTTGCATGATTTGTTCTTCCTTATGTATAGAACCTAATCTAGGAACGTAATGCTGAGAAAAGAATATTGTTCACAAATCGGTAGGTGTATTCACTCTCTCTTGTAAACTCATTGCAAGGAGCACGAATTGCAAGAATGCTATACAAAAACTGCAAGACCGCGAGAACACCTCTCTTGCAGAATTGTATCATCAAAATGAATCAGCTGTTTTTGCAGCCGTATCACATTGAGCAAAGAAAAATAAAAGTATAACAATGCCGCGAACTGAAATACAAAAATGTATAGATTTTTTATTGAAAATAGTGCTTTTAATATTCTGATTGAAGTTATTAACATGTTGTTAATGTAGTTTAATTAAATGAAGACCTTTTGTTTTCTTTAGTAAACCATCACGAAAATCACCAACCAGTACCAAAATCTATTCAATGGAGATCTACCATTCTTCAAGAATTTGATGAAGGCCGTTTTCGTCAAATGCTTAGAGTAAATTGGAACGAATTTTCCTTAATACTCTCACTAATAAACACTAGCAAGAAGTTCACTAATTCACATTCAATTCAATACTTCCCGCTCGATTTTAAACTTGCTATTGTTTTATATCGTTTGGGTTCATCAAGCGAAAATGCGGCTATTCGTAAAGTCACTACATTATTTGGTGTTAGAGATGGGGAAACAATTTATAAGATAATCCGAAGAGTCTTTCGCTCCATATTGGAACTGCAAACCAAATTTATAACGTGCCCAGATGTAGCTGAACGACAAGATAAAGTGGAGAAAACCTATCATGAGCTTCCACATTGCATTGGATATATTGACGGTACTGAAATAAAACTTGCCGAAGCACCAGTGGTTAACCATACATCCTATTTTTCAAAAAATAGAGTGTATTCAATAAAAGCACAAGTCGTATGTGACTATCAGCTGAAGATTCGACATGTCGCAGTTGGTCACTATGGAAGTGCACATGATGCTCACATGTTTCGTACAAGCGCTCTCTGCATCCAAGAAAATTCTTTATTTTCTTCAGAACAATGGTTAGCAGGCGATTCTGCTTATCCATTACTTAAAACTCTTATAGCTCCGTTTCGGTCAAACTCCCAACAGCTTGACTACTCCAAACGTAAAACTTTTAACTTACGCCATAGCAGATTTCGTGTAAGGATTGAACATTGTTTTGAACTTCTGAAGGAACGCTTCGGTAGTCTTAAGGAGTTAAGAATTCGTATTCAGAATGACACGAGTCATAATTTTTGTTCAAATTAGTTCCTTGTTTATTGCATATTGCACAACATTTTGCGACCTTCATGTGATGATACGGAACACGTGGATTACGTACATGACAACGACGAAGAATCTGATGAGCTTATGCAGAATGAAGCTAGTCAGAGAACCAATGAAGGAGCTTCGAAGTGCTCCAATAATTACGAATAATCAATAATTTACGAATACAAATACTAATCAACATATTAATACATAGTATTGTATTAATGTATTAATATGTTGATTAGTATTTGAATATAAAGTTTAGTTTCCTGAAGAAGTCTAAAGACGAAATATCGAAAAAAAAAATAAAAATTATTGCAAAAATGAATTGTGATTTCTTTTTTCTTAATTTTTATTTATATTTTTAACAACAATATAAAAAACAAAAGATTTGACCAATTAGCCTGCAAAAAACACTTTATTAAAATGTTTGGTCACAAATAAATTACATTTAAAAATTCGGAACGCGCGCCGGTGAACACTCAAATATGGTGTCTTATAAAGAACTTAAAGCAAAATACAACAAAAATACTAACTAAATGCTGAGGAAATACATAAAACTGAGTAGAAAAATACAATACTAAGATGTGATATTACATTTCTAACTAATTGTCGATATTTTGGTATAATTTCAAATTTTATTAAAGATTCTAATAAACATATTTCTCAGATTTATACAAATAAAATGTTTATAGCTAAAATAACCACGACGTTAAGGAAACATATTGACATATTTCATAATAAATTATTTAATTTGATCATTTCACAAAAACACATACTGTTAAATAATATTAAAAGAGATTTAGATGATATTAAAAGTATAATTGAAACTGATTTGACTAAAATGGATGCTGATTTCTTTTACCAGTGAAGAAATTTTAAACACAAAACTGAGAGAAAATAAAATTAAAGTTTTAGATAATAAACTCCAAACATTAAAACAAAATTTATTAAAATCATTTAACATGAATCAAAAAGACGACTGGTTTATAAACAAACATTGAGTTCCCACAAGAAATACAATGGCTCATTTCTTTTGGTCCCAAATTCGATTTACCATTCTCCAAAAAAAGTTTTTCTCTTTTTCAATAAATACATAACAGAAGTAGAGAACTGCATCAAAACTTTGCAAAACAAAGATAAGAAAGATATTGCCAGAACAAAATTTATTAACATGGTAAAAAATAACAAACGTTAATTAAAGCATAATGCAAAACAGAAATTTTTTTTCAGCACAGTAGAACAAACTCAAAAATTAAATAATAAGATAATAATTAATAAGATATTAATAGTAAAACCAGAGTTATAATAAAAGATCCTATGTTACAGTGTCATTACAAACTAAAAAAAAACATAAGTAACTAAATTATATGATGACCACATTATGGATAAAAAGGAGAAAGAAAATTTAACAGCCAATATTGCTAATCCTCCTAGAATATATGGCTTACCGAAGATCCATAAGAAGAATATGCCTCTTAGCCCCATTTGTTCTTGCATTAATTCACCAGCGTATAAATTATTTCAATATATAGCGTCCATTCTCAGGAATTCAACAAAAAACTTTAACTATAATGTAAAAGATGCAATAGAATTTAAAAATAAAATTATAAATTCCTACACATATGATGATGAAAAAATGATCTCTTTTGACGTTTCTTCTTTATTTTCTAGTATACCTCTTGACTTGGCTTTAAAAATTATAGAGAAAAAATGAAACAAAATAAAGACCTTTACATAAATTAAAAATCCTTATATTTTGTCTTAAAGATAATAATTATTTTGTCTTAAAGATAATAATAAATAAACTATGGTATACACACAAGGAAAAGGGATGCCGATGGGTTCATCAGTTTCACCCATCATAGCAGATATTATTATTACTTTTATTTATTTTTATTTTTATTTTATGAAGTGTTATGAAAGACACCCTTTCAATGCTCTATCTTACATGCTAACTTACAAACTAACAAATAAAATTGAATATATTATTTAATTTATTGCTTCGAAATTAACATATTTAATAAATTAAAATAAAGTCTTTAGTGTATAAAACTAGTTACATTTTAAATTATATTATAAATTCCGTTTTTTAAATATTTTATTTGTAAAGAATATTCCTAATATAATATAACTAAATATGGCATATAATTTAATTGTTGGACCTTGTGGCATATCAGTTATATTTTTTTAGTAAGTTTGTTATTAATTAGTTAATTTCATTATTTAATAACAATGAAAATTATAAAAGATAAATAGAAAGCAATTATAAATGAAATCAAAATGAAAGACAAAAAGAACAGTCACAAAAAAATAAAATAATAAAAAGCCAAAAATAATATTTATGATAAGTAGAAAATTAATCAAACAATATTAAAACAATATTAATTAATATAAGATTGTAATAATAAGCTAAGACAGTTCCTGAGAAATTAACTTCTTGAAGCACACTAAGTTGTTTGCGTTTCTGGTATCGCTAGATAACGAGTTCCAGAGTCTTACCGCATTTATGAAAAAGAAACTAGTCGCAGAAAAGTGGTTGAACCTTAGGATTAAATATTGAATAGATCTGTTTGTACACTAAGTTGTTTGCGTTTCTGGTATTGCTAGATAACGAGTTCCAGAATCTTACCGCATTTATGAAAAAGAAACTAGTCGCAGAAAAGTGGTTGAACCTTAGGAATAAATATTGAATAGATCTGTTTGAATGCAATTTACATAGATTATTAAAAAGGTACTCAGGGATTTGTTAGAATCCCTAGAATGTTATTCCTGTACCCAGTTAAATGATCAAAACGCCTGAGTCCATAGACATACCTTGTCAGGCAGTTCATTAAAGCTCTTACTTTGTATAGGGATTCTGAGTTAAGTTTGCTGTAGACCAGACTAGAATACATAACTATAGGCATTATTAACTGCTTTACTAATGTGCAACGAAGATTCATTGAAGTATATTTAGCTGGAGTATATTGTATACATCTAAGTGATACAATTGATTTCCAAAAGACTAGATTTATGTGGTCACGAGCATTCAAGCTAGACTTTAAGTAAAAACCTAAGCATTTTAGTGATAATTTATAATCAATTGTAGTACTGCCGATTAAAATTAAAGGCAATGTCTCCACTATATTTTTATTCTCACAATAGCCAGAATAATTGTTTTTTCTGTATTAAGCAGCATGTTATTTACTATTGCCCATGCATGAATTCTATTTAAGTCATCAGTAAGCCTACAAGCATTGTCACCTTAAAAACCAACTGTACTAGAAATATACATTTGAATATCATCTGCATATGCATGTAATTTGGAATATTTCTTCTTCTTCTTTATTTGCCAATTCGATTTCGAATATTGGTGATCATGTAACATAACATAATACTATATTAATTATAACATAATAATAATAATATCATAATAACATAACATAACATAATACTATATTGTTTGATTAGTTTTTAATAAACACAATTACAAATTTTTAACTATTTCTGCGTATTGCTCTCTGCATCTCGTTATATTTATAAGGCTGCCAACCTCTCGTATTTGAGTCCATTGACGAATGTTTCGCAGCCAAGAAAATTGTTTTCTACCAATACCGCGTTTGCCTTCGATTTTTCCTTAAATAATCATTTGGAGTAACTCATATTTTGAATTTCGCATAATATGTCCCAAGTAAACTGTTTTTCTTCTTTTTATAATTGTTAACAGTTCGCGATCACACCTCATTCTTCGTAACACTTCATTATTTGTAACATGATCTGTTCATGGAATTTTGAGAATTCTCCGATAAATCCATAACTCAAATGCTTCGAGTTTGTTAATATCAACAATTTTCAAAGTCCAGGTTTCCATGGCGTATAGAAGTATAGACCAGACATAGCATTTTACAAAACGGATTTTAGTTTTAATATTGAGATCATGACTATTAAGTACTTTTTTGTATCTAAGAAAAGTATTTCGTGCTATTTCTATTCGGCATTTGATCTCTTTGGAACAATTCCAATTTTCATTTACATAGCATCCAAGATATTTAAAATGCTGTACTTTTTCTATACCAATATTATTAACCATTAAATTTGTGTTGCTATACATATTCTTTCGGCTTACAATCATATATTTTGTTTTATTTTTATTTATTTTTAGTCCATATTGTTCGCTAGTGGTGTTAACCCTGTTTACTAGCTCTTGTTGGCCACTTAAACTGTCGGCAATAAGAATGGTGTCATCCGCGTATCTGATGTTATTAATGAAAACGCCGTTTACCTTCACACCTTGTTGAATATCGCTAATAGATTCTTCAAATATTTTTTCTGAATACAAATTGAATAACAGTGGCGACAATATGCAAGCCTGTCTAACGCCTCTTGAAATGGATATCCCTTCTGTTATATCACCATCGATGTTTACATGCGCAGTTTGTTGCCAGTACAAATGTTTAATGCATCGGATTTCCTTGTCATCAATATCAATGTTTTGAAGAATTTCTATAAGTTTATCATGTTTCACGTTGTCGAACGCTTTCTCGTAATCGATAAAACAGAGAAAAACGTCATTGTGAACGTCTTTACAATTTTGAACTAAAACTTGAATACATAATGGTGCTTCCCGATTCCAAGTCCTTCCTTAAAACCAAATTGTGATTCTCCCATTACTTCTTCGCATTTTTTGTGTATTCTGCCGTGTATAACTTTTAGAAAAATTTTTAAAGCATGTGACATAAGGCTGATAAGTCTGTATTCACTACATTTTTTTGCATTTTTCTTCTTAGGCAGTGTTATGAAGGTAGATTTTACCCAGTCCTCGGGATATTGTCCAGTATTGTATACATGATTAAACAATTTTACTAATAGATTAGTATTTTCTTCATCAATTAGTTTCAAAATTTCAGATGGAATCTCGTCTGGGCCATTTGCCTTATTGTTTTTCATCGATTTTATGGCTTTTCTGACTTCGTCTTTAATTATGTACATTCCAGTTGGCATACTTGTAATTTATTAGC